TTGAAGTCCACATTAAATGTCCATTATAAAAATAAACGTATAAACGTGATCCATGGACAAATATGCAGGTGATGAGGTGAATAAGTGATCACAGCAATGGTGAAAAAATCCTCAAATGGCTAAAATGCCCCCTCACCTCCTCAATGTGACCCCAAGGGCCAGCTCGCTTTTAGGATCACACCACGATCCTTACAGGTAATAACTCGTCACAGGATAATAACCGCAAGAGATCCCATCAATGGTGGCACTTACTCCTCTCAGGTCCCCTCCAGGTACAGGTATCTGCAATAAAGTTCCCTCTCCCATAAAGGATCATATTAATAAAAAAAAAAAGATCCTCTATAGTGTAATAAGGTTTATTAATGAACTATAAAAAAATGCCAATTGCCCACTCACATATACTCCATAGAACGTCAGCTTCTAAACCTCATGCTACAGGTGTACTGCATGGGTTTTTTTGGTGTACCAAAATGGCGCCCCTCTGCAACTACGTCACCGCGCACCGGAAAAACGTCACCGTGTACCAATGCGCTGCGTCACGCTAACCACGTGACTTCATCAGGATGATACCTGTTATCTCTACAGGACAGAAAGTGGAGGAAAATCTCCCCAATTGGGCACAGATAGGGGGGGGGGGGGGAGAAAACCTGATGGGTCTTCCACAACTTTGGCCAAAATAAAACAATTTTATTTATACTTTAACCACCTCCTGCCCGCCATATAAGGAAATGACAGACGGGCTGCTGCTCTCGTGTTCTGAGAGGACGTCATATGACGTCCTCCCACTCTAACCGCCTGAGGGCGTGCAGTACGGCGATCGGTTTGTGCGCTGCATCCCTGGGTCACAGAGGATCACCAATCAGCGGAAATAGCCAATGATGTCAGCTATCATGTGATCAGCTGTGTCCAATCACAGCTGATCGCATGTAAATAAGGAAATGCTGGTTATCGGCATTCCTCTCCTCACGAGCCGACAGCTTGTGAGGAGAGGAGAGCCAGCAATCAGCATTCGGAGGGGAGGGAACATGTACACTGATCATCAGGGCACTGATGATCAGTGTAGCTCCATCAGTGACACATCAGTGCCCATCTGAGCTGCTTTTCAGTGCCACCCTAACAGTGCCATACACGAGTGCTGCCTTTCAGTGACCTTCAGTTCCACCTACCAGTGCCTCCTCATCAGTGCAGCCTCATTAGCGCACATCAGTGAAGGAGAAAAATCACTTATTTACAAAATTTTATAACGGAAACTAAGAAAAAATTCTTAGTCACAATTTTCAGTTTTTGGCTTGTTTAGCAAAAATAAAAAACCCAGAGGTGATTAAATACCACCAAAGGAAAGCTGTCTCAAAAAAATGATACAAATTTCATAAGTACAGTGTTGCCTGACCACGCAATTGTCAAAGTGTGACAGTGCTGAAAGCTGAAAACTAGCCTGGGTAGGAAGGGGGTAAGTGTGCCAGGTAGGCAAGTGGTTAAAGTATAAGTTCACCTTTTGTAACATGGTACACTTTCAGGGTGTAACATACAATGAAAGGACCGGCCCCCGATTCCCTGTTTTGACAGCTAGCAGGGGATCTTCCCCTCCCCCGACTATCAAAATGTTTTTGTTTTTTTTTTAAGTGGCCATGTGGGGCTCTGTCTGACCCAACTGTGTTACTCATTCACAGTATTCTGTGAATGTGAAAACTACCAAGTTCTGACAGCCTTTGCAGCTGTTGGCTTGTAGTTCACCGATTCTTCCTGTCAGAGCGTATCTGGTTCTCCTACGAGCACAGATACACCGATAAGAGTTCACAAATCCTGCATGACACCAGCAATCTGCTGATCACTGGTGCAATGTTTCCCAAAACAAAAAATAGCAAATGCACGTTTTTACCTGCATTTAATATTTGTGTTAAAAGGTGAACTTATCCTTTCAAGTGGTAGTAAACCTAATAATTTTACCTACAGGTAAGCTTATAATAAAGGAGATATTAGCCAATAGCTGGAGCATGTGCTCTGAAGGAATGGCATGCCCGTGCCATTCCTTCAGAGCATTGTGCCGTGGCCGAGGACTCCCGCGCAGGAGTGCAGTCATCGTGGCTCAGCGTGTCAGCTAGCCAGAGCTCGCGAACCCAGAAGGAAGACCGGGTTAAGATGAAAGCCCTGGGGAGCTGTGACAGTGTTCCGCTGGAGGGCTTCGTTTCAAGGCAAATCCTTCATAATGTACTAGTTTGCGATGCATACTAGCACATAATGCATTTACTTTGCAGAGGCTGTTTTTTTTTTATGCCTTTACCCCTTCCCTGCTTTGACCACAGCTAATAGTGTTGTCTGTACACACAGTGTATGACGTGCTTTGAAATATAAGGGCAATTTTTATTTTTTAGCTCTGTAGTGAAGAGAGATTAGAACCCGTCAGGTTTTTAACACCATCTGTATCCCAGTTAGGAAGATTCCCCCTATTAGTCCTGTCTACTGTTACCAGAAGGAAAAGGAAGATTCCCCCTATTAGTCCTGTTTACTGTTACCAGAAGGAAAAGGAAGATCCCCCTATTAGTCCTGTTTACTGTTACCGGACGTAAAAGAAAGATTCCCCTATTAGTCCTGTCTACTGTTACCAGAAGGAAAAGGAAGATCCCCCTATTAGTCCTGTTTACTGTTACCGGAAGTAAAAGGAAGATTCCCCCTATTAGTCCTGTTTACTGCTGCCAGGAGGAAAAGGAAGATCCCCCTATTAGTCCTGTTTACTGTTACCGGAAGTAAAAGGAAGATCCCCCTATTAGTCCTGTTTACTGTTACCGGAAGTAAAAGGAAGATTCCCCCTATTAGTCCTGTCTACTGTTACCGGAAGTAAAAGGAAGATTCCCCCTATTAGCCCTGTCTACGGTTACCAGAAGTAAAAGGAAGATTCCCCCTATTAGTCCTGTCTACTGTTAACGGAAGTAAAAGGAAGATTCCCCCTATTAGCCCTGTCTACTGTTACCGGACATAAAAGGAAGATTCCCCCTATTAGCCCTGTCTACTGTTACCGGACATAAAAGGAAGATTCCCCCTATTAGTCCTGTCTACTGTTACCGGACATAAAAGGAAGATTCCCCCTATTAGTCCTGTTTACTGTTACCGGACGTAAAAGGAAGATTCCCCCTATTAGCCCTGTCTACTGTTACCGGACGTAAAAGGAAGATTCCCCCTATTAGTCCTACAGTTATCGGAAGATTCCCCCTATTAGTCCTGTTTACTGTTACTGAACGTAAAAGGAAGATTCCCCCTATTAGCCCTGTCTACTGTTACCGGAAGTAAAAGGAAGATTCCCCCTATTAGTCCTGTTTACTGTTACCGGACGTAAAAGGAAGATTTCCCCCTATTAGTCCTACTGTTATCGGAAGATTCCCCCTATTAGTCCTGTTTACGGTTACTGAACGTAAAACGGAAGATTCCCCGTTAGTCCTGTCTACTGTTAGACATAAAAGGAAGATCCCCCCTATTAGTCCTGTTTACTGTTACCAGAAGGAAAAGGAAGATTCCCCCTATTAGTCCTGTCTACTGTTACCAGAAGGAAAAGGAAGATTCCCCCTATTAGTCCTGTCTACTGTTACCGGAAGTAAAAGGAAGATCCCCCCTATTAGTCCTGTCTGTTACCGGAAGTAAAAGGAAGATTCCCCCTATTAGTCCTGTTTACGGTTATCGGAAGTAAAAGAAAATCCTGAATTTTGGGTTGTCCCCAGAACAGGAATAGAATTCCTTCACTGGAAATTTCACTTCCTGTTTTGGCTATGGGACAGGACGTGAAGGGAAATCTCCCCTATGGGACACACATGACCCAGGGGGTATAACTCTTTCTTACTCCAATAAAAATAGTTTTTCCCATAGCTGTACTCTGAGGCCCAGTCCATCACTTCTGTGGGTCTCTTCTGGTGAGCTGAGAGCACTGAACACACACCGTTGAACCCCTCAGATCAGGCCCGGCCACGATTGCCGAGGTTCCTGTACAGTAGACAAGGATGGGTCCGGCCATCGCAGTGTATCCGGCCATCACCTGCTATGCAAGGCTCAGGACATCGCCTATTACAGGCATTCCCGATCTCTAGGCCTCTACAGATACGTGGCCACCGATCTTACAGCTCTCCTCAGGCCCCGCTCCCACACAGGCCTGGTCCGCACAAGGGAGGATTACGCAAGATGGAGCCGACAGGTATCCCGAGGGGAGCTTTTCAATACCCTTACTGTCCATCCCCCCCAGTGTGTGCGTGTGGAGGACAGACAGACCTAACGCTAGCCAGACATACATACTCACCATCGTTACAACTTCCATTAAACCGATTAAAAACAACGAGAAGAACGCAGGAACAACTGTCCTGAGGCGGGAAGGGCGGGTCTTATTTATAGCCTACCCCGGAGCAGCGCACTCCGCTCATGGGAAGGGGGCCGGCCGTTCCAAAGAGACTATGGGTTGGGGGGGAATTCTAAAAAAAGGGGAGAGAATGATAGTAATTTTATATTTCCTGTTCGATATTTAGGTCATATTATGGTCAGTGAAGGGTTCAGCCAGGAGAAATTTCAGAATGTTGTGTATTTCAGAAATAGGAATTGTGGGGGCGGGGCGGACGCGGAGGGCGGGAAGCAGCACAAGCAGTGTAGTTGGTTGCTATGAGGTATAGAGAGAGGCCTTGGTGCCTGGGTCAGTAATGGTGGCCTGTACTGCCATCATTTGTTACAATAGTCCCAGGTGACCCTGGAAAATGTCAGTGTTCACTGCTGACCAGATGTACTATAGACCCCTGTGTATAATATAGCTACAGAGGCTGAAAACCCAGTACAGAGCTCTGTAGAGTTCATACTGCCCATGGGAGCTCAGGTTGTTGCCATTTTCAGATGACCTGACGTTTCTCCTGCCTGGCTCCACTCAGATCCATCCACCACCACTTTGTATCTCCTTCCACTTTGCTGCAATGGCCCTCCTTAACCACTCTCCCTCCTGATGATTTACCCCCCTTCCTGACAAGGTCATTTTTTACGTTACGGTCAGGAGCGGACTGACCATTTGGAAACTCGGGCACTGCCCGAGGGCCCGGGGTCAGTAGGGGGCCCCATGAGATGCCCCTGGTACCTTTTTCATAGGCTTTTTTGGCTTTTGGCAAGGACACAGGGGCCCCATGATCCCCTATTGCCCGGGGGCCCCATGAGTTGTCAGTCCGCCCCTGGTTACGGTGCTGCGTTACTTTAACTGGCAATTGCACGGTCATGCAATGCTGCACCCAAAAGAAATTTATGCCCCTTTTTCTCCACGAATAGAGCTTTCTTTTGGTGGTATTTGATCGCCTGTGCGGTTTTTATTTTTTGCGGTATATAAAAAAAAAAAAGCGACAATTTTGAGGAAAAAAAAATATTTTTGACTTGTTGCTATTAAACACGTCCAGTTAAAAAAATGTAAAAAAATCAAATGTCATCATAAATTTCAGCCAAAATGTATTCTTCTCCATGCCTTTGCTAAAAAAAATCCCAATATGTGTAAATTAATTAGTTTACGTGAAAGTTATATCGTCTACAAATGGTGGTATATATGGTATATTTGGGGGGGGGGGGGGTTACTAGTAATGGCAGCGATCAGCGACTTATAGTGGGACTGCGGCGGACATTCTGACAGTGGGGGGAACTGACTTGGTGTCATTAACATCCTTAGTGACGCCAATACAGTGATCAGTGCTAAAAAAAAAAAGCACTGACACTGTACTAAATGCACTGGGCAGGAAGGGGTTAACATGAGGGGCGATCAAAGGGTTAATCGTGGGCTGCCAGTGTTTTACTAGAGCTTTCACTGCGTGTTTTCACTGTAAGCATACTGCTTTGGATGGCTGGGCTGTGCACAGCCATTCAAAGCAATGTGCCCAAGCCGGCAGGGAGAACTGTTAGTAAACAAAACAGTTCTCCCCCCCCTCCATTGAGATCATCGGAAATCACTGGGCGCCGGTGAGTAATCACTAGCCGGGATCCGGTGATTGACAGTGGCGAATGGCGGCTCGGGTGGGGCATGCTCGCCCCCTACACGGAAATGTAAAATCATATATATATATATGTGATTTTGCACACCCGTACCACCTTGTAACTGTACTGCTATAGAGTGGACTCAAAGCAGATAAAGTGGTAGTAAAGTCAGTTTTTATAACTTGTACCCAGGGGACTGGCCATTTGGAAACTTGGGCACTGCCCGAGGGCCCGGGGTCAGTAGGGGGCCCCATGAGATGCCCCTGGTACCTTTTTCATAGGCTTTTTTGAGTGTGGGCAAGGACACATGGGCCCCATGATCCCCTATTGCCCGGGGGCCCCATGAGTTGTCAGTCTGCCCCTGCTTGTACCTACAGGTGAACCTATAATGAGACTTAGTCCTCATGCACACGGGACGTTTTAATAACGCTAGTAAAGTTAGCTGTGTAAAGTCATGTTAAAAACTTGAGTTTTTTAGCGTTTTTTTTGCATTAGCGGTTAGCCACCTTTTGCCATGATTAGGAGCATTTTCCCATGTTTTTCCACATTTGCATTTTAGTGGGTTATTTTTTACCCCCAAAAAATAATTGTTTTTGATAAAAAAAAGTCCAAAACGCCAGTTTGCGGCATTTTACAGCATTTTACTGCGTTTTGCTGCGTTTTTCAGCATTAGAGCATTTTAACAGCTAAAAAACTCTAGAAACCCACTAGTCCTGGATTTTTTTTCCAGCCAAAAAAATGTCCCAGCCAAAAACCGTTGATTACAGTCTATGTGTGCATGGACACATAGGATACCATGCTGGGGAGTTTACTGGCTATAGAAAAAAATGTCAAAAGCCAAATCAATCGCTGTAAAAACGTCTAGTGTGCATGAGGACTTACCTGTAGTTACTGTAAATATCTCCTAAACGTACACCGTTTAGGAGATATAATAATTATTTTATATTTGCTTGTGCAGTGCACTGGTGTATGTGCCCTGACGGAACTCTTAACTATGTAACAATTTTTTTTTTTTCTATGGTTGAACTGGATGGACTTTTGTCTTTTTTCAGCCAGACTATTTAACTATGTTACTATGAAGGAACAGTATGCCTGTGCCATTCTTTCAGAGCTGCGTGCTGTAAAAATGACCTCCCCCCCCCCGTCATGTACATTTACGGGAGTGGCAACATCGTGCCCATTCAAGGCCCAACCGCCGAGATGCCGCGTATTTGCGTACCATCAGCGTGAAGAACCGCTGGGTGTATTATTTTTTGTTAAACAAACTAAAAATTACCAAAAATTTGGAAAAAAAGGATTTTCTTTGTTTTTACTATAACATTTTGCACACAGGTAATTTTTCTCCTACTATAGGAAATTATTTAGGCTTAGGTGTCCTTTTATCATGCAGCGGTAAATGACCAGTGCTCAATTCTCCGACATTCTCAGAGGAGACAGTTCTCCTCTGAATGCCTTTTTATGAAGCGGTGTAGATCGCTTCTCCTAATGAGGAGAGAAGTGATCTACAAACGCTTTTTTTCTACAAGGGCTGACATACTCCTTCATACACTGGCCATTTCTGACAGATTCTCTGTGTACTGAGATGATCAGCGGAGAACATGTTCTCCGCTGATCATCTCTGTTTCCTAAACCACTAATGATCTGAGATCAGCAACGATCCTCAGGATCGCTGCTGACCTCTGTTTCATAAAAGGACACCTTAGTGAAACAAAAACCAAAAAGAGTGCTGCTTCCAAAAAAAGTCAAATAATAAACTTATAACAATCTAAATGTACACTTGGTGCGCATCTCTACATTAGTACAGTGGCTAAATGGTAAGCACTTCCCCCTGGCAGCGCTACAGTTGTTGGTTTGAGTCCCAACCATGGCACCACCTGACAGCTGACTAGGAGGGGGTCGGATGTAGATTGCTGCATCATCCCTCAAATGTCTAAAAGATTCTGTTAACTTTTTCTGTTTTTTTTCTTCTTCTGACCATTTGTGGTTGAATTCAGCAAGACAACTTCAGTGGAGTGGGAGGGTGTGTAGGAATGAGTCAAAAGGCTGGGGAAGTTTGGTGGTGCTGGAGCATTGATCATGTCCTGTTACTGAAGAAATAATGTCACTAAGAAAAAAAATATAGCACTTTAGTGGTTTATTTTTTCCTTAGTAATATTTTTTCTTCAGTGGTATAAAGTAGTATAGGGATGAACCTGTATCATAAGATCTATTCACCAGCTTTCATTGGTAAATCCATCCATAATAGTGATCACACTTTGATCTTGCCTGCATATAATATTGGGTTACATCTAAACAATAGTGCTATCTTTAGGGAATTTTTTATCTTTTTTTCAAGATTTTTTGGTTTGATTTTAATTATTTTTTTTTGCATTTTTAGGGGGAATCTATTTGTGACTTTTAGGGGGAATCTATTTGTGACATATTAATTGTCATTTTTATTTTTTTCTTTCTTTATTTTCATTTCAAATTTGTTAAATTTTTTTGCAATAGTGTATTACTGCAGGCTCTTGCTGTACATAGGTACACACACCCTTATGAAGTTGCACCCTTGCATTTCAGTGTCGCAGGCTTACCAAGCATTGTTCTCTGTGAACAGACTGTTGCTCACATGATGTTCATCCTTTTTTAATTGATTAATTATATGACAGCTGAAGCTGCATTTATTCTCCTGATCTCCATGATTAAGACAAAGTTCCAGTCGTTTTTGTTTTTATTGAAAGAAAAAACTGTAGCTGCTGACATTTAATAAACACACACTTAGCTGTCCCGAAGTCCAGCGATGTTCTCACCTATGCCAGGGGCAGACTGACCATTTAGGCACTCGGGCACTGCCCGAGGGCCCGGGGTCAGTATGGGGCCCCATGAGATGCCCTTGGTACCTTTCATAGACTTTTTTGGGTGTGATTTGAGTGTGGGCAAGAACACAGGGGCCCCATGATTTCCTATTGCCCAGGGGCCCCATGAGTTGTCATTCCACCCCTGACCCACGCAGTCCCTTCTCCCTTCTTTCCTCCACAGCGCCAGCATCTGAACTGTGGGGACCAGGCTGTGACAGCTTTCGGCTTCACAGCTTGGTGCCCAGTGCGCATGCAAGAGTCGTGCTGCGCTTCCTAATTGGTCCGGCAGTCTCCTGGGACCTGTGAAAGTTCCCAAGAGACTGCGGGAGGGATTAGGGGGCCGAACTTCTGGCTCACTTCGCAGAGGCGAACTGAGCCAGAAGTAGGAACGGGTACCAGTCAAGACCAGGTACCTGCTGCCCTCTCCAACCCCCAAAAGGTGCCAAATATGGCAGTGGAGGGGGGAAGGAGGCAAATAAGCAAAGCTTCCACTTTTGAGTGGAACTCCACTTTAAGCTCTAGGGGCAAAGTGAAACTTGGTGGGGGCTTGGCCTGGGGTGCCTGAGGCTGTTACACTTTCTTACCTGGGGTTTGCAAAGATCTGCAACATTTGTTTCCCTGTACATTGGTAGCTGGAGCTTGGCTTCAACTTGTTAGTGTTTTCAAATCTACTAGTACATCTAACATTGCCCTTCCTCCAGACTGAAAATGCTGTGTTCTGTGCTTATTCCCCCAAGTGGTGTCTCACTAATACATGAGGTGTATTACCTGCCAAATCGATGGGTGAACAGAGGGAAAAAAGCCAAAGAAACGAGAACTGAGGTAGTCACCACATCTAATAATTGGTAAGGTGCAATATAATACATTTTGGTTTTAATACTGCTTCAAATTCAAGTTGACTACCACTGGTTTAAGTAGTAATAGTGTTACAGAAAAAGTGCTTCACACATGCTCTTAGTACATCAAAAATGTACTGTAGGTACCCGATGACATCTTCTGAATATGGTTGCCTTTGAATGTGAATAAAATAACTTGGCTTTACACAGTTATAAAGAAAATATCTGCTCGAATTGGTATGTCATATAAATTGGCACCAAATCATGCTTTTTTTTTTAAGCCTGTGAAATATTATTTACTAACAGCAGAGGGCAGTGTCTTCCCAAAAACTGAACAAACCGTGTATTTGACTGCAGCACAGAGTTGATATTGAATGCTGTTGTTTCTGATATTCTAACAAGTTGGATGGAATTTAATTTAATGTAAAGCATATCATTACATAAAGCTGTATTCCAGGTGTGGCTTTTTTGAACAGTTACATTGGTCTAGCTTGGGCCAATGTAAGTATGCATATACCCCACCTGTGGGATCCTTTGCAAGGTGACAATCATGGTAGAATTCACTGCTACAACAGTGATGGCCATTATCTTTTGGGTCCCATGGCAGGAGCGCCATTCATAAAGTGCCTTGCATTTATCCCAATGAATGGAAAGCATTCTCTGATTGAAGTGAGTGGAGATCATTATATCACCGCCCCGCCTCTACACCTTTTCATTAGGACAGGGCTTGCATTCATTGAGATAAATGCCAAGTGTTCTGTAAATAATTATAAATATGTAAATAACAACAAAACAAAACACATCCAATTACTGCCCAAAGCTTGCCATCTTCACCTCCGCAACGTCTCCAAGATATGTCCTTCCTAACCAATGACACCACAAAGCTTCTAGTTCACTCCCTGGTCATCCCACGCCTCGAATACTGCAACTCCCTCTTCATTGGCTTACCTTTACATAGGCTATCCCTCCATCAGTAATGCTGTTACCAAACTCATGCACCTTACCAACCATTCAATGTCTGCTACCCCTCTCTGTCATTCCCTCCACTGACTTCCACTCACCCAAGAAATTGAATTCAAGATACTAACAACAATCTTCAAAGCCATCCACAACTACATCACTAATCTTGTCTCAAAATACCAACCAAATCCTTCTCTTCATTCCTCCCAAGACCTTCTGCTTTCTAGATCCCTTGTCACATCCTCTCATGCTTGCCTCCAGAACTTCACCATAGTTGCTCCCATCCACTGGAACTCCCTTCCTCAACGTGTCCGACTATTTCCTACTCTGTCCACTTTTAGATGATCCCTGAAAACTCATCTCTTCAGAGAGGCCTATCCTGCCCCCACCTAACAACTGCACATGTATTTTCTCCATCTACCCATCTCCTGCACTTATTATCTTTTGTATCTCTTGACCCACCCTTTTAAATTGTAAGCTCTAATGAGCAGAGCCCTCTGATTCCTCTTGTATTAAATTGTATTGTAATTGTACTGTCTGCCCTTATGTTGTAAACTGCTGCTTAAACTGATGGTGCTATATAAATCCTGTATAACAATAAATAACAGTGACTGCTACAGTGATTGTCACCTTTCACAGGCATTTCACAGATCAATGTGACTATGCAAAAAAAAAAAACTTGCCTGCAATTCAGCTTTAAAGTATAACTATGATCAGAATAAAAAAATGACATATGTACTTCAGTCTGACACTAGCATTAAAGCTGAAGTCTAGGTATGATCTCTACTGTATTGCATAGTTACATTGGTTCAGTTTGGCCCAATAGAAGTATGCAAATCTCATACCTGAGGGTCTGTTGTTGATGGTGACAGGTGACAATCGGTGTAGCAGTCTCCACTTCTGGGTCCTGTGCAAAGCAGTTTCCCTTCTGCATAGCAAATGAAGGGGGGGGGGGGGGGGTTGTCACCTTTAACAGTATTCCCTCAGGTATGGGATATGCATACTTACATTGTGCTAAACTAGAACAATGTAACTAGGAACAATATAACTATGCAGTAAAGACCATACCTTGCCTTCAGGTTTAACTCAGCAGTTATTGTTTTTCTGAGTCACGCCAACCCCATAAAGTTTTTTTACTTGTTGATACTGTTAGTAAAATCTTCTATTTTTTTACCTCCTTTATTAGGGTGATGCCATGGTTTGTTCTGCATTAATATCACACAGCAGCATTGGCACACTGTGGACTGGGAAATTTTAAATGTAAGATTAAAGCCTATCTCCGATGAACACGTTTTAAGCTGTTACATGAACAGTTTTTTTATTTAGAAATAAAGAATTAAGCCATATGAATAAGAGCTGAATGTTGTAAGCATCCCCACGAATGCCCATCCCAACTCTGTAAATAGTCACATTTACTGGACATCTTTGACTGTTACAGGCAGTGGAATAATAATGGATCTCCTGATAGGATCCACTGTAATAAAATTGCTGCAGGGGAAATACAAAAGGCCCCCAAACTGCTATGTTAAAGCTACAGTCCACCTTTTGCAATAATTTATTAAATGCACCCACATTCTTAAAATTTATATGTGCATCTATTAAAATTTTTCCTTGAAGCCTGCAGAGCAATGTAACCACAATCAGAGCATCAAGGGTGCAATGCTCTAGCTCTTGCAGACTCTTGTCCCTGCTTCAGGTCCATACAGAGGTATGGATCTTCTGTTATGGGACTAGAGGAAGTAAACACTGGGCTACAAGTGCGGTGACTTCACACAGATCTACGAATCCTGACACAGTGGCAAATGGGACCTCTATCCTTTGTTTCTAATATGAGACCTAGCCTTTTTATTCACAAATCCACTTGAATGGATGACATGTTTGGTGGAACCATGCACAGCCACACTAAATTCAAAAGAAAACAGGATGCTCCAGGGAGAAACACCATGACATTTAGGTAGGTGGGACGTGGTTTGAGGGTGTGGGGCTTGGAAATGTTTCTCTGTTTTAGGTCACACCATAAAGATTTTTTGTATGTAATTTTTTACTTTGCATATAGTTACGTTAAAGTGAACATCTGGTACCAAAAAGTGCCTGCAGACAACTTGCTATTTTAAAAATTGTTCTTGTGCATTTGGGGAGCCTCTGGACCCAAGGGAAATCTCTAGGGTTATTTTGAGCTTAGACGTGGAGCTGTGTCATGCTTTCAACATCCTACAATGCATTTCTATGCTCTTCAGAATCAGTGGCCAGTAAAAAGATTGGACCTCTAAGTGAAGCATACTGTATGAAGTGTGCATGGGTTTGGGGATCTTCCTGGAAAAACATAACCGTAAAAAGCTTTTACATTAAAAAAAAAAAAAAAAAAAGTAAGTGCCAGTACTCTTTCAGGGGTTTAATGTAAAGAATGTGCTTAGAATCTGTCGGTAGATGGTGTATGTTGTTATTCCAATTCTGATTTTAGTGCATCATTCTGGTCTACTGAAGAATGGAGCCAGAGCAGTCACTTGACTGCAAGCAAGATTTAAAAAAAAAAAAAAAAAAGTGTTTTTGTGAAACTATGCTGCTCTGTTGCTTGGCTGTTAGTGTACTTCTCAGCGTGCACTATAATTTGTTATATTGGCAACTACCACTGCAAATTGTATAAACATATTTCAGCAGGATAGGAGTTTTTTTCTTCAAGCTGAGCTCATTAGTATTTGAAACTGGAATAAAGTAGCAGACACAGCAATCTAGATTTTTCACAAGTAGTTCAAAGGTTCACTGTATCCTGTCATTTGTATTGCTGGCCTGCTATTATCCTTCTCCACAGACCATGCCCAAAATTAGCCTACCAATAATTACAACTTGTGATCCCATTTTGCATTCTCCCACCTCCCCTTTGAGCTTTAAAATGTATACAAAAATAGCAGCTACTATTCTACAAAAGACAACCAGATATCTAGGCCCTGTAAGGCCTGGTTCACACCAATGCAGTTTGCTTTTGATTCGTTTTTTTGCATCTTGTTTGTGGTTTTACACACGTGCATTTTTGCCGCATTTTTCCAGATTTTGTTTTGTTTAAGGGAAATGTTTTTGTTGCTGGGCAGAATTAAAATGTAAAAAGCAGCAAAAATGCACTACATGTGTTTCAGCAGCATCTCCATTGAATTCTGTTTTAGCAAAAACGCTGCTTTTTGCATTTAAAAGAAAGTCTCTGATCCTTTCCAAAAATGCAGCTGCTCAAAAACGTATAGATGTGAACGTGTCCCATAGGAAACCATATGAAACGGACTGTAGTGCGGTTCTGCAAAAAGCACAAAAAAACGCATTGGTGTGAACCAGGCTTAAATATTCACACCCGCATTTGTATGGTTACAAAAGATGTTAATATGAAGAATTTGGTTGTGTACAGTTTTATTATTGCAAGTGAAATGTCAGTTAT